AAGGATGGAGATGGAGATGGAGAGGAGAGCTCAGATTGTAAAGCTTCTCCTCCTGATCAGAATGGATCAGCAAGTCCGAAATCTTCAGAGAACCCTCCAGACTTGTCAAATGGTTCTGTCTTGAAGGAGGAGGAGGCCAAACCAGAGGAGCAGGCTGAAGGAGGAGTCCCACTGCAGGTTGAAACGGCCACAGAAAGTGCTTCGGCCTTAGAGGAGAAGGGTGAGGGAGAAGACAACCAGCCGATGACGGTAGTGGAGGAGCAACCGCCCTCCAACCAGGAGGTGTCAGAGGAGGAGTTGCCACCGCCGCCTCTTTCCGAGGAAGTCCCATCCGGGGCCACAGAGGTGGTTCCAGAGAGCACTCCGGAGGCGCCATCTGACTTCCCCCCGCCTCCACAGGACGACAGCGGCTTCCAGTCTCCCACCAGTGAAGGGGCGGAGGGTGAGGAGGAGGAAGAGGCCCCCAGCTCACAGCCCGCAGAGGAGCACCCTGAGAAGAGCTCAGCCCAAGAAGCCGAGACCAAAACCAGTGACTCTGAGACCAGAGAGCAGTGAGGAAATGAATCCGGTTTGTTTGACCTAAACTGAATCCTGCTCTTTTGTCTTTGTTTTTGTTAAAGACTCGTTTTAGCCACACCAGTTTTCAGTTTCCACACCGGTTTCAGGCATAATAGTGACTCAGCAGATTATTTCCACCGAGCAGGGCTCAGGTGCTGTTGTCTTTTTTTTTTTTTTTTAAATCTTGTTTCTTTCTGTATGATTTTCACAGCACACACGCGCACACACAAGTTCCACACGTTTTCTCTTCACCTGGTAGAAATGTGAGCACAGTGGACGACCTCGAGTTCCTAATGGTGTGTTATAAGCATGTGACGAGTTGCAACAACACCCCTGTTGAGGTGCCTTTGGTGATTTAGCTCCCCAAGTCTGTGGCCTTCAGTAACCATCAGCAATTGGATTTTATTTATGGAATTTGTTGGTGTAAATACAGTTTGCGCTGTTGGAAACTCACTTATTGGTTATTACTGGACCCGATTGGCCAACAGAAAATACTTTCCAGAATGTGGAAATGTCTGTTTTTAATCTCAAACTTGCATTATAATTAATTAATTGTCCATGTACACGCTGATGACTCAAGACATGACAATTTCTTTTTCTGTTGGTGGGAATAACACTATTTTATATGAGTTTATCCCTTAATAAAGAAAGCTTGTGTATATTATGTATAAATACTTATGGACCAGTGAACTACCAAACTGTTATTTTACATAATTTTATATCACGCCATCAGTGCCTTAGCTGATCTCTCCATTTATTTATTTTTCACCCCCTTCTCTTTTTTTTGATCAATGTACTTTTAGATTTATTTTACCCTTGTGTAATACAAATGACTGTTATTGATAATAAATCATTATTGATTAATTATTATTAGTTTGTCTTCCTGGTCTTTGTAGTCACTACAGGAGGGATAGTAGGCGTGTTCTCTTACAAAACCCACATTCACACACATTACTCAGTTTGGGAGGTGAGAATCAGCCTACTCATCTCCAGTACTGTGGGAGGCGTGTGTGGGAGAATGTGAATTCCTTTGATTCACTGGATTAAAACTTCCAGGTTTGGAGGTTATGTGAGAATCCATCTTTTTCAAACTAAATCATAAGATTAGAAACTTCACCAGTTCACCCCAACCACCCAGCTCTCCATCAAAGAAAGGCTTTATTGATCCCACACTTGGGAAAATCACTTGTTACAGCAACTCCAGATACAACACTGAGTGATAGATTAGAAAAAATACACAAAGTAAAAAATAAATGGAAACATAGAAGATGTAATAGAAAAGAGAACATACACCTTTTTATATGTACATATATTTGTATAATAAAGTTTTGAAAGATAGATTGTTGCACAAGATTGTCCAAGATTACAGCGGGAGATGGTTGCACAGTGTAAATAAGTATAATTTAAATAAAGGTATAATTGCACAGTACAGGTATAATATAAACATTTCAATGTGTATTATAAGATTAAATATGTGTATATATATAATAAGAAGTATATACATACATATATGCATATGTTGTAGGATGTCTAACCTGAAGTAAATATATGATAAATGGTGCAAAACAGTACCTGTGATGTTGTAAGTGTGTGATGTGACAGAGACAACAGGGTGCAGCAGGCTGTTTCTGAAGGAGCTGCTTTGGGCCCCCACAGTCTCATGCAGGGGGTGAGAAGTGTTCTTCATGACTGACGTCAGCTTATCTAACATCCTCCTCTCACTCACCTCCTGTATGGAGTCAAGGGGGCAGTCCAGGACAGAGCTGCCTATTTTTACTAGTTTGACTGTTTTTCTGTCCCTCTCTGAGCTTCTGGCTCCCCTCACACTAGATTACAGATGCCACCACAGTGTCATAAAATGTTCCTGAATATTTCGACCTTTCAGATTATAACAATAAGGTCTATTTTCATTAGTGTATAATCCCCTAATATAAGAATCATTGTGTTTTTGTTGCCTGTAACCCAGAAAGGACAAACCAAACACTGGCTCTGGATAGGGCCTTTTGCATTTTCAGTGTTGCGGCCACCATAGTTTCTCCTACATGCTCGGAAGGCTGAGCTTTATTCAAATAGTTGCACTTTGCAATTTACTGTTGCAAGTTACTGATTATACCTGTCAAAATGTCCACCATGATTCTATTCTGTTACATTTAACCCTTTAAACATCTTATATCATAAATGTGTGGGAATTAAATTAAAAAGGAAAGTATAGCTTTTTTATTGGTTATAACTATATGATCTGTCTCATAGATGGCTGTACTAATCTTAATTACCACAGAAGTTCACATATGTAATTTTTGTAATATCGATTATTGATGTCCACAGTGTCTGTGTGCAGATATTTCCACAAGTTGAAGTTGTAAGTAGACAATATACCTTTTTTTTTTTGTCAGCTGACATGCACAATAGCAGCAGACTCTGTCTTAACAAGTCAGTCAGGCTAATATGTCTGACGTGGGTCAGGCTGGTGTCTAGATTGACAATGACTCCTGGGAGCTTTGCTGCCTGGAGCCAGCCAGATGGACCGACCCCCAGTGACAAGACGAGTGGAGGAAGAGACAATTCCCTCAACACCTCCTTAAGTGAGACTGGACCAGAGCTGTTTTTGTGGCCCTGGAGCCCAGTGTCACCGGTGAACTCTCATTAAATATGCTCTAGATACAATCAGTTATTTCTGATTAAATCTGTCTCTTCAGATAGGACCCAGCGCCAGATCATCCTGAGCAGATGATCAGCAGCAGGCTCACTTTTTGCAGTTTCTTTGTGCCACCAGAGAGCACCAAAGCATTATCAATGAGAAGTATTACCCTAAAGAGTTTAATCCCTGTGTTGTGCTTCAACAGTAAATTCACCAAATTACAAAAATAAAATCTCTCTTACTTCTAGAGGCATTTAGTCATGTGATAGTTTTGATTTGTCCAGGTTTTGAAATATCTGTCTCTGATCTTTCTGCCTTTAGCCCGACATGGAGGTGAAAAGGATTTTGTTTGTGGTGGTGTTTTTTTTTTTAACAATTTATGAATTCAGCTTGGTAAATGGACTGTACTTATATACCTTATATAGCGCCTTTGTAGTCTTTCCACCACTCAAAGCGCTTTTACACTACATGCCACCCATCCACACACATTCATACATTGATGGCAGCGGCTGCCATCCAAAGTGCCAACTGCTCACCAGAAACAGCTTGTGGAAATTCATTTTTCTATTACCTCTTATATTTTTTCGCCCCTCAAATAGCCTTCACACTTGGAAGGGGGGGATGAAGGGAGGGAGTTCTAATCTGCAACGACACTGCTAGATGGTATCAAATCCTACACACTGGCCCTTTAAATATGGAGCTTGATCCCAGATCAAATATACATTGAAGGGCCATGAACCGCGTCTCCTGTTGCTGTAATGTTATGGTAAATGTATAAACCTTTGTTTCTTTCTGTGATGTTGCAAATGGAGCTGCTGTGACGCAAAAAATGTTCCGACTTCATCTGACAATAAAGTATTATCACCATGTGATAATAGTAGCCCTCAGTGTCTACATCCTATTGTGTTTTCATTGTAAATCTAACAGGAAATTAAATTTTGGCTCAATTAAATACACTGATATGTAACAAGTGTGAAGCCCATTTCTGCCACTGTGAGGGGAAAAAAGATTCTGTAAAGTAATTAAAATCCATATATTGACTTAGTATCTCAAAATAATGACTATATATATCAAAAGAAAAGTCAATATTTCTCAAAATATTGAGAGGATAGAAAATCTGAGTCAGAAATGTGTGTGAAATATAGCCTACTGTCAGTGGTGAAACCCTGTGATTGCTACATAGTTCTTCTAAACTGCATCTTCAACCCAATGCAGAAGTAGCAGAGAAAGCCTGCTGCATGGAGGAAGACACCCGGTGTCTTTGGTTATAACAGCACCTGAAGGCAGCACGGAGGGAGCTCAGCGTGTTGACGTCACACACTTGCGCGCCTCTGCCACAGCTCAGCAGAAGCAACCGCGATCAATCAGCCAGTCATCGGTGTGCATCCATGTTGCAGGTCCGCGGAGGAGAGCAGACACCTTGCGGCAAACACTCAGCAGGAGGCTCCGGATGATCGCTGCCGCCGCCGCCTCAGTCCTCTCCTGAACGCTTGTTTACTTGTTGTTGCCGTTATTTATCCCGTTTCTCTCGAGTCCTCTCCTCCCTGAACACCGGGGGATGGGGGAATGATCAGCACCGACTCCCCTCCGCCGCCTCCTCCTCCTGCTCCTCCTTCACTCGGTCTCCGTGTCCCCTGTCAGTCGTCGGAGCTGTGGCCAGGATGCGGGCCCCGCTGCTCGGCCAGGCTGCGGTGTTTGCGGCCCTGTTGGCGCTGAGCACCTGCTTGACAGGTAAGGAGCAGCTGCTACCCGCTGTCATTCACACACAGGCGGCTGTTGTGAGGCTGCAACGGGCCAACAGACAGCCTGAACCCTCTCTGATAGCAGGTGGAAGGTTACTGTTACTGTTGATACAGGGACTACAGGGTGTCTGTGGTCCTCAGGCAGCTACTCATCCATCTTCTGGGATGTGTCTGTGTTCTGAGGGGCCTAGACTAATTGATGGGAAGCTGTTCAGTGTTATTGATTATGCCCTATGTGGTGATACAGTGTATTTCACACTGTCCGCACTCAGCATATTATCATGCCTGATAATCTGCCTCGTAGGCCTTAAAATATTTTAAAATGTCTTTAATATGACTTTCACAGGTCTTTATTAATTTAGTAAATATTACTTGTAAAAAGTTGCATCTAGTTTTTTTTTTGCCAGTGTGAACGTAAAATAGGTTTTAGATTGCAGACTTAAATTAAACATGTTGAAACCTATAGAAACCCTGAAAAAGTTTTAAAAATCATTCATCGAGTGTCTAAATAATTTAGCAGCCTTAAACCATTCTCTGGCTCCAGCTTCTAAAATGTTTTATATCACTCTAAACTGAATATCTTTGGCTTTGAACTGTCTGTGGGAAAAATGTCCATCACAATGTTCAATAATCAAATTGCTTGTTTTGTCTGATCATTTTCTGCTGAAAGTGAATCTTTTCAGCTCTAGATGAATCGATATATTATCAATCATCAGTTACACATTTAAATTCACATTATAAGACATAGTTTATGACTGAGATCTGACTGCGTGAGGATGAGTTTACATTCAAGGATTTTGTAAATGTCTTGAAAGTTCTAGGGAAGAGAGTGTGTTTATATCACAGTCCTCACGGGAAGATTTAGTGTAATGATAGTGGATAGAAGTAATAACATACAGAATGTTACAGTCAGATATTAAGACTAAAGAAATCTAGGAATATCCTGATGATTTCTATAATAGCTTGCTTTTAGACTCCTCACTCTGAAGCTGTGTGTCAGTGCAGTAACAACCAGTGCGCACAGATTGGTGCCACGCTGGCTCCAGGCTTTTCCACCCAGTGACGTGCACTGTTGCGTCTGGCTGATGGGAGACCGTACAACAGAAATGACATTAGGCTGTGAGGTGGGAAATGGATGATTCAGTGGCAGAGGGATGGATGGACGGATCACGATGTTTTCAGGGTGTGTCGGCGGGTGCCTCACTTATCGTAGCTGCTCCGGTCTGGTTGTCCTCAGAAACACGTTCCTGCTGTCAGAGCTGTCACTGACCCGGACCACTGTTTAACATCACACAGTCTATTCTGAGATGCACACAACCCCCTGTGTTGTTTTATTCAACATTTAAAGAGCTGTAACCTCATCACATTGTGATGCAAATAATAATTCTTGTCAATGGGGTAAGCCTTAAAACTCTTAAAACTAAAATACAAATCTAGGCACTGAAAGACTGTAGTGGGCCTTAAAACTAGAAAAAAAATGTAAGGAAGTTGTGATTATTACAAGCAATGAATAATTGAATAGAATCTTACAATAGGACACAAGTGACTTTGTCTTAAATGAAGGCACCAGAAGCATTCTTATGTATTTCTAGCATTATTTATTAAAACAATGAGAAACTAAACAGCTGCTTCATTTAGAACACTGGGACAAGACTACTTTCTGTTAATCTGAGAAGTTGTGCGAGTGGTGTTCCTCTTAAAATAGGTAAAATAATCTTGTTCCTCTGCTGGGATATTCTGCAAACCAATGTTGGAACTTGTTACTGGTACTTTCCTAATGCAAAACATGCTTGACAAGATGACTTTTCCCCAGAAACGAGTATTTTTGTTATTTTCTTGAGATTCCTCTTTTGCTGTATAGATACTCTTCATTTACTTTCAGAAATGACTAAGTAAAGCAGCAAATCCTCATGTTTAAGAAGCTGGATCCAGCAGATGTGTGACATGCAGGTTCCCAATTGTGACAACTCAAAATTAAACCAGAAAATCAAGACTGTACGCTAGTGAGCTAGCCAGCTTTTTCAATCTGATATCTGATATGGAATAAAAGGCCAGTCTGGTCCACATAGGTCACTGTGACTGGTGAGATTTCCCACCAGTGTGACTCAAACAGCTGTGAGTGTTATGGTGATCTGATGTGGTTTTGATAGTTTTCATGCATCAGAGGAGTGCTACTGCACCCCTCTCTGTTGGGAAAGTGGTTCTATAAAGAAGGCTGAATAAATATGTTGACACGAAATAGTTCCAAAAATAACCTGGCTACATAATCTCTAATGAGGTACCCGCAATCAACTGGTGGCACATGAAGCAGTTTGGGTCTGTAATGTAATAGCTGCAGCCTCTAAGATGAGTCTTGAACATTAGTCAAAGGAACAAGCTTTTTTAAATTCACTTCATTGGATTAAGGGTTCCAGAGGTGCAGGTCTAGGCCTCTGGCTTGGCTGCAGTCCCCGATGAGCTGAAATGTGCTTCCATTCGTCTGTATCACCTGATTTTGGGCGTGTGTTGTGTGAAGGAGGCCACTGACGCTCTGTACTGCCACTCTGCTTTGCTTCACAAAGACTTTTAGGAAATATTCATGTTTTGAAGTAAACAATTCAACATTTTGCCCAGCAGTTCACATGTTCAGCTCTGTGAACTAACTTAATTGCAATCACATTATCAAAATATTTGCAATATGATTTTATTTTTACCATATCATGCATCTCTTTATAATTGTTTTCAATATATACATGTATATGTACAACCCTGTAGGTAGGGGTCCAAAAAACACACCTACCTACAGGGTTGCCATGTGTCCTGGAAAACCTGGAAAATTGATTAAAATGACCAAAGATCCTGGAAATAATCTACGTCGTCCTGGAAAGTTTTAATGGTATTTAGTGTGTATTTAGTTTGAAACTCCAGTCTTGGTAGGCTGAGCTGCACACCATGATAAGTGAAAGTGGGCTTATCAGGAACAGACTTTCTAGCATTCTTATTGCCGTCCAATTATTGACGTTACAGTAGTCAATTTGCCTGAGACCACAGAGGGAAAATCTGGATCCAAGAGTACAACGAAAGCAAGCTAAAGCGGATTGTCTAATAAGCTCCGGCCACCTGATACTTCATTATGGATGAATAAAACTGGGGTGAAATGTGTCAATACTGGGACTATTGGTAAATTATATCACTCTTTAAGAGCAAGTGCTGCACTGTATTGTCAAGAAAACTCCTGGAAAATTATATCTTAAAGATAGATTTCTGTTTGTGTGCAGGGGAAACAAAAAGGACATGTTCATCAGTGAGCTTTGGAGGTTTTAGTAGGTGTGTTAGAGCTATGGACAGAGCCAGGCTAGCTGTTTTCCTCTCTTCCAGTCTTAATGCTAAGCTAGGCTAACAGCTAACAGCTCTTTGCTTTATACACAGACATGAGACTGATACCAATGTTCTTCTCTCACTTGTGGGAAAGAAAGCAATTGAAATGTTTTCCCATGCTGTTCTGTTCCTTTATTAAAGCCAGAGGTGGCTGGTCCCTGGCTGTGTAAACACTGTGCAGTGTGTGTCTGCGTGGTGGATCAGCATTATCAGCACACCTACCCAGCAGGGCCACTCTCTCTTACTTTACACGTCTTACCTATTAGCCGTGATCGTCTCTAGTCCCGTGAGGTCACCCATAAATCTGCAGCTGACAGTAAGCTCTGAACTCAGACAACGTGGCTGTCTGTCAAGCTGTCCGTCCATATGTCCATCTGGCAGGGACAGCACTGCAGCCGTCCCCTTGTTGGCCTTGGCTTAGAGCCCGCTGAGTTCTGATTGTGAGCTACTGTGGCAGCATTAAAGGCCATGATGCTTCTGAATGCTTATGTTGCTTCTCTGTCTGCACGTTACGTGTCGCAGTGGGATCACTATGGGGACCTGCTACGAACTTTAGCTCTAGGAAGAACCAAGAGGTTGCAAGACAAATCTGAGGTTTTTGAGATGTTATTTTTTGTTTTGTGGTTGTTGTGTTTTTCAATTTAGAAAAAAATATCTCTGTAGGGCTGCTCGATTATAACAAAAATCATAATCATGATTATTTTGGTCAATACTGAGATGATGGGAGGTCACTGAGGTAGTCAAACAACTCCACAGTGGCAAAGCCCCAGGGATTGATGAGATTCGCCCAGAAATGCTGAAGGCTCTGGGTGTTGAGGGGCTGTCGTTGACACGCCTTTTCAGTGGAAGTTGGGGACAGCGCCAAAGGAGTGGCGGACTGGGGTGGTGGTTCCCCTATTTAAAAAGGGGACCAGAGGGTGTGTGGAGGTGTGTGCAAGACTACAGAGGCATCCACTTACTAGGTTCGGTTGATTGTCAAACCTTTAATTGAAGAGAATAGTGCAGTTTCCATCGCGTGGCGTGGAACCACGGGGGGGCCGGCCGGACCAACTCTAAAAGTCTCGCAGTGTCTTGGAAGGGGCCTGGGAATATGCCCATGCCGGTTGAGCATGTGCGTTGTGGATGTGGAGATAACATATGACCGGTTCCTCAGAAATATTTCCTGTGGGAGGTGCTGAGTGAGTATGGGGTAGAGGGGGTCACTTCTCAGAACGCCATTTAAATCCCAAAGGAGAGTTGTGTCCGGATTATTTGTCGTAAATCGGCTGTTTCCAGGTGTGTTGGCCTCTGCCAGGCTTGCGCTTTTGTCACCAATCCTGTTTGTGATTTCATGGACAGGGATATCGAGGTGTAGTTGTGGGAGGAGGGTTTGCAGTTCGGTGCTGAGGAGTTACATCGCTGCTTATTGTGGATGATGTGGTCCTGATGCATCATCGGCCTGTGACCTTCAGCACTGCACTGGATCTTTCGCAGCTGAGTGTCAGCAGCTGTTGAATGAAGAACAGCACCTCTAAATCAGAGAGAGATGGTTCTCAGCAGGAAACCGGTGATTGTCGTACTCCCGGTAGGTAGTAACGTCTTTCCCCAAGTGAAGGAGTTCAAGTACCTCTGTGTTTTGTTCACGAGCGAGGG